GGACAAAGACGGCCCCGACGGTTCGGCAGGTAGGCGGGCCGGGCGGAGTGGAAAGGGGAGAAGGGGGCTTGCCTAGCCGGCAGGACCCAGAAGCTTGGAGAGGGGACGGGAATTAGGAGCCTGAAATATCAGGAAGGGGAAGGGGTCTTGGGACGGGAGGCGTGCCTGTATTCTCACCCAGCCATTAATGTGTGCGAAGCGGGGCACCGTTCATCGCCCTGGGCCTCAGTTTCCCCTTCTGTCAGCTAACGAATGGCTTGGCTTGGATTTCCCAAAGCAAACGTAACATCCAATGTACGGTGGGCTGCCGACAGCCCCAGGTTCCTCCTGCCCAGGACCCTCTGTCCCCTCGCATGTTTCCTGTCTCCATAGGTCTAATTCCTAGGAAGGGGTGGTGTCTCGGGGGCGCCCCCTCGCGGGAGGGCTGGCAGGGGCACTTGAAGGCTCCTCAGAGGAAAGGCAGCTCCTCTAGGCAGCCCCCGGGGTGATAGGCTCCTCCAGACCCCAGGGGAGTCGAATCCTCGGTGAGACCGGGATACACCTGTCTCCCTCCTCTGTCTCCTTACCACTCAGACTTTGTCGGTGTGACAGTCAGAGCGCTGCCAATCCACTCTCTGCGGCTTTGAATTTTTTTAATTGTATTTTTTAAATTGCCCGAGTTAGAATTGGAAAAATAAATAAATGCCAGAAAGCGTTGGCTAGGTTCCACTTCCTTCGCTTGTCACGAGCATCCTGGACCCTCTCCCTCGAGGGGCTACCCCAGTTTGTGTGTGGGAGGGAGGATGTGGTCCGGGTGGAAGGGCGCACCTGTCACAGAGGGGCGTCTCCGCTGCTTCTGCAGTTGGTTCAGAGAAGGGGAGGACTTTTCCACAGCCGAGAGCGGGGTTCCAGCCGCGTTCGCAGGGCTGCCTGGAGCGTGGGGAGAGGCGCTTGCTTTGGCACCCTTCCCTTTGCTGTCAGGCATTTCATTAGCTTCTACAGGTCCGCGGCCCTGCATCTGAGGAGAAGAAGGGAGAGTAATTCCAGAAATGCTGTCTTAAAAGGCGAGCGCCGTGGCAGGGTGTGTGGTCCTGGAATAAACCTGGAAAAATGAGCCCAGGACAGACTGCTTCCTCTGTCTGCCGCTTTGGCGGCTGATGGTCTCCAGAAAGTTGGGATGACTGAACAAATCAGTAGGCAGCTGGCGGTCGGTGGGGATGCCTTCTAAATCCTACTTTAAAGTCTTTTTTTTCCTAAAGATTCTGTCCCTCTCACGTCTGGTGTGGAGTCTAGGACAGCACGTCTAATTGAGAAGCATGGAGGGCGTCCAGCAACATTGCCCTGTATAGTTATTCATGCTCCCAATTAAAATCCTGGAAAGAGAACAGTTATTTCTCCCCCAAAACTCATATGTGGACTTAGAGTGCTTTCAGCTAGTTTTGCTATAATGTCTGGGGTATTTTTTTCACATTATTTGTTTATTTCTTAATAACATATAGATGCCCCTCTACCTGGACAGCTCGCTCCCACCCCCCATGCCAGGCCCACCTCCTAAGAAGCAGCCTTCGGTGAGGCAAGCGTATGTGGAGGGCTTTTTTTTTCCTTTTAACACTTCTTTGATCTCTGTACCTTACAAACTCTTTTCGGAAGTAGTTGTGACTAGAGCCTGACCTCAATTTCTGATTTACTTGCCTATGAAACAAGAACTTGCTAAACATTGATAAAAGAAGTTTGCAAGGAATGTAAATAAATGTCTGGAAAAAAGAAGACTTTTAAATAACTTAAACTCGTTTCCATGCAGGTCCCATAACTAGCGGACAGGAACGTGGACAGTTCAGTTACTGTGGGAGTTCTCGAGCAGTCCTGAAACCTTACACTCAGGCTTTTGCTGCATCGGGTATTTGTCTCAGTCAGTGTTGCCGTGTAGCTGTAGGTGGTTGTTCGTTTGTTTTTTTTGCAGGGTGCGGGAGTTAGGTTTATTTATTTACTTATTTTTTTAGATGGAGGTGCTGGGGATAGAACCCAGGACCTTGTGCATGCTAAGCACACACTCTACCCCTGAGCTGTGCCTCCCCCCCACCTGTGATGTTAACAGTCTTGCTGGGGGGCCCAAGCCGCCCCACCTGTGGGGTCCGACCACCCTTTCTAAGCACTTGATAAAGGACGGAGCTTCTGTGGCCTCGTCAGTGCCCAGACCAGCCCAGCCTGGGCTCCTGAGTGTGGGTCTCAGCGTCGCCATTGCTCTATCTCCACTGCCCACCCCCGACGTTCACTGCCTTCTTACAGGAAGTCACCACAGTTTGTTTCTCTCCTTTCCTTCAGTCCCCATCTACGTGCCCTTCCTCATCGTTGGGTCCGTGTTTGTCGCCTTCATCATCTTGGGCTCGCTCGTGGCGGCCTGCTGCTGCCGATGCCTCCGGCCCAAGCAGGAGCCCCAGCAGAGCCGGGCCCCGGGGGGCACCCGCCTGATGGAGACCATCCCCATGATCCCCAGCGCCAGCACTTCCCGAGGGTCTTCGTCCCGCCAGTCCAGCACAGCGGCCAGCTCCAGCTCCAGCGCCAACTCGGGGGCCCGGGCGCCCCCCACCAGGTCGCAGACCAACTGTTGCTTGCCCGAGGGGACCATGAACAACGTGTACGTCAACATGCCTACGAACTTCTCGGTGCTGAACTGCCAGCAGGCCACCCAGATCGTGCCCCACCAGGGGCAGTACCTGCATGCCCCCTACGTGGGGTACCCAGTGCAGCATGACTCGGTGCCCATGACCCCTGTGCCCCCTTTTCTGGACAGCCTGCAGACAGGCTACAGGCAGATCCAGGCCCCCTTCCCTCACACTAACAGTGAACAGAAGATGTACCCCGCTGTGACCGTGTAACGCAAGGTGTGGCCGGTTCCCGTGCCAGACAGGAGAGCAGAAGCTGTGGACTCGGGAAGGATGCTCCAGGTGGAAGTTCGTGCGTGGTGGGGCTGTTCATGGCACGATTCTCTCGGATGGCTTCATTTGCCCCCAAACTGTATGAAAACGTCTTTTCCCGAATTAGCGTTTCTGGATTTGCTTCGTCCCGGTGCGTGATTGATTTATGATGGGAAAGCACATCACCTGGAGATGCCCGTGTTGTTGACGATGACGTTGTGTGACAGATGTGAGCCCTTAAGTGCCCTTGAGGTATGGTGTCAGAAGAACTTTGGAAACCGGTGGATTAAGGGGTTTTATTGTTTCATCGTTATTCTTTTTTGCTTTTTATTGTACAAGATCAGAATACCTGTTCTCTCCCTTTGGCCTGGGCCAGTTTTTCAATAAGCATCTATGGTTTAGGGGGAGATGTGGAGAACAACTATTATAAAAGGAAACCAGTTTGAACTCTGAGGTTAATCACTGACTTCAGTGTTTCCCATCTTAATTTCATTGTAAAAAGATACCTATATATTGTCTATTTTTGTGCTTTTTGGGGTCTATTTTGTGCTTTTTTACCTTGTGTAGAAATCTTATTACAAAGTGATTTTCTACATTAAAAAGAGACTGAAAGAAATTGCATGGTTCCTTAACTAATGCCCTTGATGAACTCTGGGATTGTTTTAATCTCGAAGTAGCCGGTGGTATGGTCATAAAACCCTCCCCCTTCGCGATGGTATCTCCTAAATCTCTGCCTTCACAGTGACATCTGAGAAGAAGTAATTAGATGTTTTTATACTGAAATCATAAACTCAAATCACCCGCTTCTTCTCCAAGTTACTTTCAGTGTTGCCATGTGGTGTGACTTGGCATTTCATTCTCTTTGGTGTTCGATCTCCAAGTCTACGTAGCACCGAGTGAAGGTAACTACTGTTGTCATAAATGAGGATCAGCGTCTCTGCCTGGGTCCGATAAAAACATTTTCTTCTTTTCCCTATAAAAATCCAAAGAAATGCTTTACAGAGACGCCTAGTGAAGGTCCTCAGCCGTAATCTGAGACTTGGGATGAAATTTAAACCGCAGATACGACTGACTTTGCAAACCAGGGGCTTTCTATACTGTCGTTATCAAAATGGCTTGTTTTTCGGGCAGTCGGGACTAGTAAGTCGAGACAAAGCTTTTCAAAGAGATACAGCCTTTCTCCCCCACAAAGTTAGTTTTTGTTTTCCTCTTAGTCCTCAGCAGGCCCTGTATTCATTACCAGTGGTCTGAAATTCAAGTGAGTTTATTTGTGCATTGTTTACTTATAAGTTGAAGTGTGTGCAAGTCAAGCTCCACCTGCTAGCAAAACCAAGACTTCTAATTAACGATGGTGAGGTATGGCCTTGTACATATCTGCGTCTCCATCTGTAGTCATCTGTCATCAGTCAGCTGTCCCTTCTGTCACCTCTCTCTGTCTTTACCCATCATCTCTCTGTCTCGTGACTGAATAATGTAAAACCACGTTGGCAATTGGTATCAGCGAAGATACTGTCAGATTTTTTTAATAACGGAAGGCAGGGGAAAATCATTTTGCTTGTGAATAAATATTTTATGGTATGAACTCCTAGGGGAGTTGGGCTTTTTCATTTTCATTATACTTGGTAAATTTTCAGACGGTCTGTTAAAGTTGTTAATAGCATAAAATTGCTAAAAAGCATCAGTGTTGCCTTCGAGAACCAAGAGCAGAGCCTACCTTGAAAAGGAATTAACATCTGGGAGGTCCGTGGTACGTTCTGAGTCAGCATTGCTTGACGTGCTCCATGGGAGATGATGACAGCGCAAAATAAACAGTTCTTTGGGGGCCATTAGATGATCAGGCTGACGTGTGTTCTGTGCGTTGTCTTTGATGGAGGAGCCCAGCTTGTCTATGGAATAAAGTTCCTAGGAATTTGGGGGTGAAAGAGACCTTAGAGGGCATCCTGCCCTAGGGACTGGGGAACTTTTTTTTCAGTCAAGAGCCAGAGAGTAAGTATTTTAGGCTTTGCAGGCCAGTTGTCCCTAAAATTATTCACAAAAGAAGCCTTAGAGGGTACATAAATAAGCCTGGCTGAGTTCCAACAAAACCTGATTGATGGATGCTGAAATTCGAACTGCATATAATTTTCACATCTCCCAAAATAGCCCACTTTTGACTTTTTTTTCCCCAGCCATTTCAAGATGTAAAAGCCATTCTAAGTTCTAAGGCCGTACAAATCCAGGCAGTCTGCCAGAGGTGGCCGTCGTGCCATGGTTCGCCAGTCCCTAATGTAGTCAGTCCATCCTTCCGCGGTGCCGGAGTCCCCTGGCCACCTTTTCAGCAGCCGTATTTAAACACAGAGGGATGGAGAGTTCTTTCTTTTCTATGTGAGATGGTCTGACTTTTCCTTCTTTCCCTTGTAACCAAGTATCATGACTTAAGCAAAAGTGCACTTTAATAAGTGAAATGAATCTTTCACTTAATGAATGCTACTTGGTCTTTCCAGTAAATATAACATTCCTAGAAGCAACCTCAGATCTTTTCAGTTTTGGTAAAAACTGGAGAAATTTAGCTAACCAAGGAAAAACGTTCAAATACCTGGTTTTGGTGCCTTCCTTACTGTCAAGGAATCAGAACCTCTAAGGTGTAATGTGCACCTCGTAAGTCAGTGCTGTCGGAAAAACACAGGCCACACTTCACAGGAAAGGTCTGCTGCCGTGCACCTTCTGTGTGGACACCTTCAGTGCTGGTCATCGCGGTTCCGGGGCTTCTGTGTCCCCGTGTGTGGGAAGGTCAGAGCCTTTGATCGCAAGGAAGAAAGTAACCAGTTCTTTGTGTCCGTTTAAGAGCCCGGAAACTCTGATTGCCTATCATTTCTCCTGCCTCTGGGAAAGTTAAAATTTAACAAGAATATCAACATTCAAAGTGGTGAGAAGACCATTAAGACAAATGCATTTTCCCGGCTTGTTTACTCTGCAGTGCTCACCTTCCAGCTAGCCTTCCGCTTCTGAGTAGGTCCCTAGACTAAGGGGACATTTCATCTGGAACATTTACCTGGAGCTCATTTTTTCAAGATTGCACCGCTTTTTTTGATGGATTCTGTGACTTGTATTTTCTCCTTGTTTTGTTACAAGTTAGGATTTAAGTTTCCTGCAGAAGGGAAGCATGAAGGTTAGAACCGAGTTGGTGAGGCGAGTCCGGGCAGGCGCTCACAAGAGGTCTGGACACGGGAGAAAAGTGTAAATGGTGCTGGAGGTCAGGGTCGGAAAGCTCGGCATCCTGCGTCCTCCCCTCAGTGTGCCCCTTCCTAGTAACGGCACTCACACCTCGTCCTTTTTCCTCTCTGAGGCTTCATCTCTGTTTCCTGCAAATTCACAGCAGTCTTTTGCTTGGAGTTAACATCGCCCCACCACACCCCCCCTCAGCTGTTCCTTAAAGTGGTTTCAATTAACGCACAGATGCTTGCTTTTAGTTGTGTAAGCTTTCTAAGTGCTTGAAAGGAATAAGTTTGGTTCTTTTTAATGGACTTTGAAGAACTGCAGCACTGAAATGAATGATGGGTGTTAAACCCCACCGTCCAGTGCAGACCCACTCGTGTGTGGGGTGTGTGCGTGCAGGAGCCGGGGGATGTGGGGAGGGGGGTCCCACGGTCCAGAAACCAGCTCGACCCTGTCAGTCGCTAGGACGGAAGACAAGCATCCCAGGCACCGGCCAGCCCTGCCGGACCTGCTGAGTTCATCACGCGCCAGCAGATACAGCCAAGTGAACTTGACGGGAACTTTTTAAAACCCCAGCAAGTTCTTGAACAGGAGCAAAATCACAGCGTCTGAGAAAGCTGCGTGTAATCAGTGGAGGAATCCCAAGATATGGAGCGGGTGGCGTCAGGAGCATTAAAAATGCAGGGAAACAGGGGAACTCCCTGGGACCTGCCCAGAGAAGGGCCCGGGGGGCCCGGAAGCGGGTGGAACCTGGCCCCGGGGGAAGGCACCCTCTTTGTGCTCAACTTTTAGAGCCTCTTATTACATTTTACCCACTTAACGGAGGGACTGGGACTTGAACCCAGGACCTCGTGCGCGCTAGGCATGTGCTCTACCCCTGAGCTCCACTAACCCTAACCCCCACCCCCACCTCGTCCCTTGCATTTTTAAGGGAGCAGCCAAAATACTGCAAGGAGGCAAAAATCAGGCAAACGAGTGAGAACCCAACTCATCATCATCCACCTTAACCCTGCTTCTCCTTAGGTGCTAGAGCCCAGCGGACAGCTCCATCCCGCTGTGTGCTCTTTCCCTCAGAGCCAGAGATGAGCTATCTCCATTCAGCCCATTCATTCCCAAATACTTACGTAGAAAATTTCTTTGACTTCTGAAATTTTTCTCTTAATTGAAAATATGAATGTTGTTGTGATTCAAGTGCCTTTAAGGAGGTGAGTAAAGGAAAGATGCCAGAGAGTTAGAAATGGTAAACCCTGTCCAGCAGATCGCGAGCTTACACTAGGCACGTGTGCTCCCTGCAGCAATTTCTACTTGCTTCCCTTGGACCCTGTTCTTCTGAACAGAATCATGTGTCAGTGAAAAGTGGGAGAATAAAACCTTAGAAAGACAGTCCCGCTGTCCCTCCTGTCTAAAATGTTACTTATTTTCGAATGTGAACTCTAACCCACAGCACCAGGACAGAGTAACTTCGGGATAAAATTACAAAGTTTTACGTAGGAAGCTGGCTGCGCAATCATTTCACTTTTCACAGCTAAATCTTCAGAATACCTTTAACAGTTAGACCCCAGATTGAAGGACAGAGACTCAAATCAAGATCCAGAAATTTAGAATTAGTGTTTAAAACAACTTTTAAATAGGAGATGATAAAAGGGGTAAACAGTTTATGATGGCAGCCTTAAGATCGATTTTTAACATAAAACTGGCATCTTAATTTCAACCATCTTGAAGTGGAGGTCTTTCCATTTAGAAAAATCCTAGGTTACAGAAGACATTATTTACTCAGCAGACGTGACAGTTGTGGAAGACTGATGGCCATCTGCAACATGTATATAAAATCGCCCCGTGTGTGTACAAAATGCACACAGGGAAATTTGAAACAGGAGTAACTTACTATATGAGGCTGTCTGCTCTCAGCCTTTGACTGATGTTTTGAAAGGAGTCTGTTGGAAACTCAGCTTTCCCCTTCTGGATATAGTTGGTTCTATCCAGCTCCCTTGATAGATGGGCCCAAGTTCAAACCCATTTCTCCGACCTGTGGTGTGGCCTTTGACCAGGGGTCTGCAGTCTCTGATCTCAGGGTGAATTCTGTAAAAGGGGGTTCATGACACACACCTCCAAGGGTTGGTGTTGGGGGGACAAAGGATACAGTGCAGGTGGCATCCAGTGTTTTTTATGATACACATATAATTTAACTTCATTTCTGTTTAACCTGTTCAGTATAGAGAAATACACAATTTATGTTGACAAAATATGTTTTCTCTCTCTCTCTATATATATATATCTCCTTAGAACTAGCTTAGGAGATTTTCCTTATTTTTGTTTCAGTAGCTAATCAGTCTTACTGGGTTAGTCTGTATTTCTTGTGTTTTGAGGTTGTCTGGGGACTCGTGCAGCACTGGCTTTCTCTGATCCTAGAATCAGTCCTCCTCTTCGTAAAGCCTGAATTGCCTGCCTTTGAATCTCTGCTGCTGTTGCTCTGGGAATTCAGACTCTCTCTCCTCTGCAGATCTCTTCCAGGTCTGGTGAGTCCAACCCAGCCTTTGTAATCTGCCACTGCACATCTCCCTGAAGCAGTCAGGGCTCAGGCAGGAACCTAGACTGAAACATTTTATTTTAATTTCTTTATTATAACCTACACACTTTAGAGCACACAGATCTTAAATGTACACTGAAATAAACCGCCACCCAGATCAAGAGATAGAAAAAATCCACTTGCAAGCTCCCTTCAAAGATCAGTGCTCCACCACTGGAGATTAGCTGTGCCTGATTTTGAACTTCACATGAGTGGAATCACACTCTTGTGTGTCTGGTCCTTACACTCAATGTTATAACCAATGTCCAATGGGGCAGTTCACCCCTTTTCATTGCTGTGTAGTATTCCACTATATGAATATGCTGTAATTACTTATCCAATCTACTATTTTTTAAAAAGCTATTCTGGGTTTTTTTTGGAAAGTTTTTAAAAAATTTATTATTATTATTATTTTAAGTGGAGGTACTGGAGATCGAACCCAGGACCTTGTGCATGCTGACCCACATGTTTTACTACTGAGCTATACATACCCCCCAAGCCCCAATCTACTATTGATGGACACTTGGTCTGTTTGGGCTGTTAGAAATGATGCAAATAGGAACATTCTGAACACAGCTTTTGATGAACATAAGTACTTAGTTCTTTTGGGTGGAATTCCAGTAGACTTGGTACATGGTAAGACATACATGTATATTTGCCTTAGTTGATATGGCCATGGTCACACAGGTTTTTTTTTTTTACAGAGAATATGTGTAAGGACTTGGTTAAACAGGTGTTAGAGACTTGAAAGAGCAAAACAGGACACCGAGGTGCACAGAAGGAGAGAGAGGGGACGGAACAGGAACTTGAGTCCTACTTGCTTTA